ATTTTTCTCATTATCATCTTATCCTTGTTCTTGGTTTGTTGTTGCTGAAATATAAAACTACGTCTTCTTTGACACTCAAGAATCTTTAATTTTATTCTTTGTATTTACCCTGATACATTGATTGCATACAAATTCAAAGAAAGTAAACAGGAGGGGATTATGGAGTTGTGTAAATAAGCAGGCATTGAAAATGTTTAAAAACCTCAAAAAATAAACATAACAAGTTAAAAACCTGGAAAAACAGTGGGTCATATCTAATATGTCAGTGTAACATTTATTCTATTCATGACTCTGCTCACTTATCTAGAATTTTCATCAGGGCACATTTGGCATCCTTACACCTCTGGCTACAGATTAGGGGGTTCCACATAGGTACAAAAGCTGTATGAAACATAGAGAATGCTTTTCTTCAGTGCATGGAGCTGATTTATAAGGCTTTCAGGTATATGAATGAAGCAGAATCAAAGAAAACAGCAACAACTGAGATATAACAGCCACAAGTGTTGAAGGTTTTGGACCTGCCAATAATGGAGCGAACGCTGGCTGTGATGCAGGTGTAGGAGGTAAGGATGGTTCAGGTGGGTGTCAGGATGTTAGATGCACTTAAGAAGGAAACCAGTAATTCACTGATGTGAACACTGGAGAAGTATAGCTCTAAGAGTGAAAAAAATATCACAGAAACAGTAGTAAATGACATTGGTCTTGCACAAAATGAGTGTCCACATAAAGCCTTTGTGAATTGTAGATCCAGTGAAACCCCAAATATAAAAACCTGCTAGAGTCAGTAGCACAAGGATAAGACATGATGGCACTGGAATGCAAGGGATTAAATGGTAATATATCACATGATATTTAATCCAATATGTGACAATGCAGTAAGGAATGCAGAGAAGTAGAGGTGATACATGCATTCAGGGTAGGACATAACACTCTTTTCTCACAAAAAGTTCACCAGCATATTGGGCATGAAGACCATGGAATGGCAGAGGTCAGTGAAGGGCAGACTGCTGAGAGGATAGTACACTGGGTGTGCAGGAGAGAACTCAGTCTAATCACAGTGTTTTTACCCCAGTTCCTCATCACTGCGAGTACATTATTTGTTTAAAAAATTGACTTATGTATTTATCCTTGTGTGTTCATATGTATATGTATCAGTTAGGGAAGTTGGAAATCATTTAATCTTTATAAGAGCAGAAAATCACTGGAAAAATCTGCAAATTTCCTGCAATCATGGGGAAATTGATGATTCTGTTCACTCAGCAGGAAAGACACCTTCAAGGACTTTAATTTGAGATAGTTTATCGACTTTTAAAAGAAAGTATTACTTTTTGAATTTTTATCTCAGCGAAGGAAGGATATTGTGAGTACTCTGATCTTCTGTCTCATATACGATACTATTTGTTAATGTCATGCATATCAGGTGCACATTAAGTTTTGATACAGAGAAGGGAAGAGCAGCACACTGCTTTCTAAATTTAACACAGGATTCGTTAGTTTTAAAATTACTGTAAGGAGGTCCAGGGATGTAGCTCAGTGTCACAGTGCCTACTTGGAGAGAGTGAGGTCATGAGTTCAATTTCTGCTGCCAAAAAGTAAAAAAAAAAAAAAAAAAGAGAGAGAGAGAGAGAGAGAGAGAGAGAGAGAGAGAGAGAGAAAGAGAGAGAGAGAGATCTATAACTACTGTAGTAGTTGTGAGCCTTAACTACTGTCTTTGCTAGGGTTCCAACTACAAAGAGCTGAATAATAGGGCAACTGTGAGGTGTGTTATATTCCCATCTAGAAAATTCTGCTCTGCCTGCCAACTTTCTTCATTCGAGTTGCTACCTGATAACTCAGGAACCTAACTGCTTTACAGATCCTGCTTTTATATCTCAGCAGCTTTCCCAAGAGTAAAGGACTATGAAGCTCTTAAATTTTCAATATTTCCCCTTACCTTAAATAAAGCTCAAGTGAATATATGTAAAATTCCAGGAATGCACTCAACTAATTCCAGAGTGGAAAGAAGAAACTAAAGATATATTAGAAAGCAGAAAAGGACTATTGTAATTTTAAAAGTATATTTTCAATAAAACTGTATTTTCTGGACAAAAGCGCTGCAGACCATGGTTACAATGCCCTGTTTGGCCATCCTGGAAATTCATTCAGAAAAAGTAAAATATAATAAATAAAATAAAATAGAATAAAAGTTTCTTGAAAATTTTAAAGATATAATTGGGACCTTTTATTTTTTCCGCCCCATAATCCTAGCACACAGGAGTCTGAGGCACAAGGATTGCCATGAGATTAAGGCCATCCTGATTACATAGTGAGTTGAAGTCCTGCCGGATTTGCAGAGCTAGGCCCTGTCTCAAAGGAAAAGAAAAGAAAAGAAAAGAAAAGAAAAGAAAAGAAAAGAAAAGAAAAGAAAAGAAAAGAAAAGAAGGAAAATGAATGAATGCAAATCATATGAATGATTCAACAGTTGTTGAGATATTGTAAAGACTCCTTCATCCAGCACAGCATGTGCCTCTCTGAAGTACCTTATCAGTTGATAAAATATTCCACATTTCTCCTATGTGTCAAATATCTTATCTCAAATCACACTGAACTCTGTTCTCCTTCTTAGATGCAATGCAAAAATCAAATGCTAATCCCCAAGAATAAAAGGACAAAGTTGTCTCTTTAAACATTGGGAAACATTTGCATTAAAATTTTAAATTGGAAATTTTCAAACCTCTGAAATTTGGGAAATGCAGGTGAAGTCATCATCACCAATCTTTAGTCTCCCTTCTTTCCTATGTAAAAAATTTCCTGCATCTGTAATGACAACCTCTGTTTGGTCAACCTGTCAACCCCTCTTTCACGTAGAATAATCTAGGTGACTAGCTTTCTATTAAAAGGATAAAAGTGGAAGGACCATTTATTAGCATCAGGCAGGATTCGGAGTTTAAAATGATCCTTTCTCCTTCCATGTATTCTGGCTGATGGCAAAGAGGAGATGAGGGATAAAGCTGGTACCATCCTTTGAGATCTATTAGGAAACTGTGTGTCACAAGACAGCAGCAAGAAGTTTGCTTCTGTGAGCAGCCACAGAGCAGCCCAAATCAACTAGTTTAAGGAGGGGTCTATGTGTGTGTGTGTGTGTATGTGTGTAAATGTGCACTGTGTGGAAACACATGTGTGTGATCCATATCCAAATCTAAACATAATTAAAACAGGGGGTAAAGTGATTATAAGTCTGCCTATATAACATACTTTGGTCCATTAAAAGGCTGATTGTAAGTTAGAAACTATTTTCTCTGGGAAATAAATGCACATTTTCATGAGACATGTGATATTATCTCTGAAAATATTACACTAAGACTGCTTGATGTTATAATAAGTATATTTACTCTATTGTGTTCAGTTGTTAAATTGTAATTACATGCATTTTTCTGTAAGTTTATTATTACATTGTATAGATCTGTTTGTTTTTCTCCTTTGCAATAGCACCCTTCTTTCAATGTTCTCTGCTTCTGGTTTATGTGATACACCTTGTCATGGTTTCTTTTCTTTCATTGCTGAGACAAAATTTCCAATACCCAAAGTTAGAGGGGAAAAAGATTTATTTAGCGCACAGTGTGTACACATTTCAGTCCATGATTGACTGGCTCTAGGGCAAGGTGGCTTATTGGAGATTGGGTTCATAGTAACCAGAAGGTAGAAAAATAAACAAGGGAGAACCACGATGGGTTTTGCCCTTTTTATTATCAAGGCTACTGAGTGCAGGTAACAATCACACCCTTCAACCTAGAGCCCATGAGGCTATCATTGCCCTATGTTGCTGCATAACACACTCTAGTTCCAGCGAACTCCTAAAAACCACATCTCTGCCCACATGAATCTTTGGGGGGACATCTAGACACAAGTCATAACAGAGGTCCATCTCTGATTTGGACTCTGATTTGTTTCAATATAGTATTTGAGATAATATTTTAACAACACATCTTCCCAGATATCTAAAAATTATTTTAAAAACAGTACAGGCATTTCTAACCTTCTTAAAACATATGAATAGTTTCAGGCAAACAGAAATGTTTGTGAAAATATCAAAAGCTTTGTAGTCATATATTTAATATTCATTTACATGGAAAAAATGTGGATTTGCTTGTTTCATGTCTAGGATAATAAATATAAAATCATACATGTGAAGCTTGCAAAGCACATTCAAACAATACAAATTTAAATTCCAACTTATTAGCATGTGATGCACGTTGGTGTATATGTATATATTTATTTATCTCATACATGTGTGCCCATAAAGAGACAGTGAAACTTAATCAGGAGAATGATGACTTTCCAGAAGATTACCTCAAATCTTTGGATTGTAATTTTTCAAGAGCATCAGCATAACTGGGCCAACTACAGAAGGCAATTTATTGGCTTAAAATATATTACTAAAATGTATTTTTTTCCCTGAGTAGATAGTGAGTTTTGTGAAGAAGGGTTATTTGTCATTAGTCAGAAAAACATTTTATCATCTCTGCCTCTCCTAAGAGTAAAGAAGTCACATTAGTTCTAATAGTGAAAGAAAATCAGTGTTAAATCTGAGTTTGAATTGGGAGAAAAACAAAATACGGTCTCTTTGCAATAAGTGAAAATTAAACCAGAAGTGACAGGAAAATGACAGGTTACAATCATCCCCAACTTTTGGAAAGGAATTACATAAACCTATGTTAAAAAAATACCTACTATGTTCACCCCTGGTTAATACTGTAAACATTGCCCAGTATGTTGTTATCTCCTTGTGGGTAGAAATTTCTTACCACCTATCACATGAATCCATATTTCTTTTTATAATTCTACACAAGTAGTAAGAATTCTGAGTTGTATTTTATATATTCCAACAGTCAACAATATTTATTTTTACAGTACAGATTTTCAGAAATGTTTGACAATAATTTAGATTAGAAAATATCATAAAAAAATAGATTATCATAGGAAACTGACTAAATGTTATGGTCACAGCAACAAAAACCTCACTAATTCAGCTGTATACTTTTGTTGTCAAAGAACATTTTTAAGGCAAATTTTACATCCCTATTCCTCAAACTGTATATCAGGGGGTTGAGCATGGGGACGATAATAGTGTAAAACACAGATGACATTTTACTCTGGTGCATGGAATTGACTGATGCAGGCTGCAGGTACATAAATGCAAGAGAACCAAAGAAGATACCTACTGCTGAGATGTGGGAACTACAAGTGCTGAAGGCTTTGGACCTGCCAGAGGTGGAGCGAATGTGGAGGATGCTGGCTATGATGGAGATGTAGGAGGAAAGTATAGTTAGTGTTGGGAGGAAAAAATTAAAAGCACTTAAGCACAGAAGCACTACCTCATTAACAAATGTACTGGAGCAGGAGAGCTGTAGTAGTGGAACGAGATCACAAAAGTAATGGTTTATTACATAAGCACTGCAAAAATCCACCCTCAGCATGCAGACTGTGTGAGCCATGGCACCAACCAAACCCACACTGTACACCGCAGCTACCATCCAGCAGCAGACTTGAGGAGACATGGTGACATTGTAAAGTAAGGGGCTGCAGATGGCCACATAGCGGTCATACGCCATTGCAGCCAACATGTGACACTCTGAGATAGTAAAAAACACAAAGAGGTAGAGTTGAGTCATGCATTCAGGGTAGGAGATGACATTCTTTTCTGTCACAAAGCTGACCAACATTTTGGGGGTAATGACCGTGGAGCAGGACAGGTCAATGAAGGACAGACTGCTGAGGAGATGGTACATGGGGGTGTGCAGGGGAGAACTGAGCCCAATCAGGGTGATCATGCCCAGGTTCCCCACCACTGTGAACACGTAGATTCCCAGGACGAGGAGGAAGAGGGGCAGCTGGAGCTCTGGGTTCTCTGTTAATCCAGTGAGGATAAATTCAGTCACCATGGAATGATTTTGTTTTGCCATTTTCTTATGGGAAATTCATGAAAAACAGAAGAGAATTATTATATTTCACTATTGTTATATCACACAATGAAATGTAAAACATAATTTTATCATTTTCTTCTTCTTTTCTCTATTTCTCAGCCAGATTCTGATATTGGTCAGCCATGAAAGACACTTAGATCTCAGAAATATGAGGCAAGCAAATAAACATCAGATACAGATATTTATATTTACCTATATTTTCATTGTTATGAGTAATAATGTCTTGTTCTGGAATACAAAAGCCAAGTCTGTTGCTCTATTTTGAAATGACATAACTTTAAATAGAAAATATAAGAAATGTGTAGAAAATATGACAACTATGGGAAAGGTTAATGAAGGTAGTAGAAGAAAATAATAACAAAAATCTATTGTTATTCTACACACTTGAAATTAGCAGTAAAACTCCATTTGGAATAGTATCCATTAAAAAATTAAAATCTTATGAGTTAATTAAAGAAAAGATATGTATAGCATTGTATATATGATTGTTAAGCAGCACTGAATGGAAAAAAATTCTTCATAAATTGACAGTCATGTACATGAATGAAAAATATAGAATAGTGAGAAATTTTATTACTTCTGAAATTGATTTATAAATTCAGTGCAACCCTGTAAAAATCTCAGCTATGTTATAATGCAAATATTGATGGTCTAGTGACAAAAATAAATGAAAACATAAGGAACCCTGTGTAATCCAAGTTGATCTAAATTAAAGATTGGAATTACAGGATTCATACTTACTCTTTTGGAAAGGTTTTATTGAGTTATCTTCAGTAAGAAATTATAATAGTGGAACTCAATGACAAAGTAAAAACTCACATGTGTAATGAACTAAAATGTAATATTTCATCTCAGAATAAATATTTTAACAAATGTCTCTGGGAAAATAAGCAAAGTAGAGATAAATGTTAATCTGGATCACATTCTCAGATCCTTCACTATAATTCACCCAAATAGATCATAGGACGAAATGTAAGAGTCATTTTCTAATCATTTCAGTATAATGACACAAGATTGAGATACATGAGGTCCCTTATAGGGAAAAGAAGTCTTAGAAAATACAACAAAACAGAACATGTATTAGGAAATTGAACATGAAAATTGGGAAAATTTAGTAAACTGTATGTAGATCTTGAAAACAAAACACACAGAAAAAGAAAAATGATTTCAATGCTGTACCTGGAAAATAATTTATCTTTAGTGTTCATTAAACATAAACTTTTACAACCCAGAGATTAGGAGGACAGGGCCCAGGGATGTCACACCTGAGCAGCAGGGCACCTGGGGAGTCCACATCCTCTACTTTTTCTCGAAACCTAAAGAAGTAAATAAGTAAATAGACAGATGAATGGCCAAAATTTAAAATACACAGAGACTCTGAATAAACACTGCTCCATTTCAATTATGTGAGTGGCTGCTAAGTATGTGACAGTACCTGTATCAGCCTTGATTATTAAAGAAATTCACAACAAAACCACAGTAAGAGAGCATTTTATGTCCTTCAGCGGGGCTGTAGTCAAAAGATAGAGAGCAAGTGTTGGCAAGAAGGTGAAGAACTGTGGCCATTATACAGTTTGTGCATTTGCAAAATGGTACAGACTGCTAGGAACACACTGGCAGTTATCAGAATTTGAAAAAACACAGTTAGGATGTGGTCCAGCAGTTTCACAGCTATACAAAGAATAGAAGATGTGCATCTCCACAAAAACTGTACTTGTGTATACAAAGTTACATTGCTGAGAACAGCCGTAGAGGAATCCATGTAATACTCATCCAGTGGGGATGGAGAAGCAAAGTGTGTAAATCAAACAAGCAGAATTCTGCAATAAAATGAATACATTAATGAATTCTACCACAGCCTAAATGAACCTAAAACATTTGAGACGAGAGACACCACACCCAGAACCTGTCCATTGTCAGAATCCATGTGTTTGATTCAAAATAGGCAAATTCATAGAGTTAGAAACAAGCTGGGAATTGCCAGCAGCCATGGCAAGGACACACTGGATAGGACTGTTAAAGCTATCGAGTTCTACATGGCTTGGTGTGGAAAATGCAAGTTGAACACAGTTATGTTTGTACAACCCCACAAATTTACCATCCCCCTAATGATGTGTAAAAGTGAAAGCACTGAATTGCATGTCACTTACAATTCAATAAAAATGTGCAATAAATGTTAAAACCACAAGAAAATAATAATGATACCAAATGGGTCACACAACATTCCATGAGAACATACTAATTTGTCTCCAGTTGGAAGCCTGGCTCACCCAGGTTTTACATGATGGATTTCTGTGTCTTTATGACAAATGTGCTCATTACAGTCTTCCAAGAAATGTGGAGCCCCTCCACACACACACACACACACACACACACACACACACACACACTGAAAACCATCCCACCAACTACTCCTCCTTCCACAGCCTGCCTTGTCTTTTCAATCCTGACAGCACCTGTGGGGCTCTGACCCGTCTCTTCTGAGCAGCTCCCCATGAACTACGAATGGCACAACTTCCTTCCCTTGATTCATTTTCTGCTCTGAGAGCTACACCTGGATGTTTGAATGCCTTTGACATTGTGAACATTTCCAGATAATTTGTTCTGAGTCAGTTTTCTGAGCTCCTTTTATTTAGGTCTATTTTAGAAATAAGTGAATCACAAGCAGAATGCCAAAACTTTTAAAGAAACTGAATATTATGTTCATTATTTTAACTCATTAATAATTCTATTAAATCAGAACATAGTTATTTGGGTTTTAGGGCTTTTTTGGTACTGGGGTTCAAACTCACGACTTCTTGCTTACCAGGCAGATGCTTACGCTGCTGAGCTAAATCCCTGACCCCAAAATTTTAAACATACACTTGAAACGCCCCTGAGAGCATTCAGTATAGAGATTCTTGCGTAGAATCCTTGCTGTTTAAAATGTTTCAGTGCAAAGGGGCCAAGAAGGCAGAATAGACAGTGGGATAAATGTCACAGGATGTGTCCTATGGGAACATAGCTATTATGATGTGGGTGCACAATAGGGCCAGTAAAGATTTTTTTAAAATGTTATTTAAAAGGAAAAAGAGAAAACAAAACAAAGTGGTGTAAGGGTACAAGTAATACAGAACTAACAGAACTACAAAAAAAAAAAAAAAAAACAGTAAGAAATCACCAGTTAATAGATTACACATTATCATCTTAGAGATAGTTGCTCAAGTCACAGTATCAAAGCATACAAAGTGGACATTCAAACAGTGAGCCTGCAAACAGTTGTGTTCAGTGATCCAGCCAAAAACGTAAATATGGTCATCTATTTAACACCCCTAAACATACTTGCAGTTGTAGCCTTTAGAGCACTTTTTTCTCCTTTCTTTTTTACAACACAATTTACACATGTTGGATTTTATTACTCCTTGGTTCTTATCACTTTTTTTGGAAGAGAATAAAGTCAAATAAAGATTTTTAAAGGCAAAAATAAATTTTCCTTTTATCCTCATAACAGTTAGCACAAGACACAATCATTGCCCTGAAGAACCTTTGCTGTGCCCTCAGCTTTCGTTCATAATGGTTCCTTAGATTGTCTTTTGTTTCTTCATTGCTCAGAACATCTCCCTTAAAAGTTGGCGTCTTTAAGATCTTTCAAAGCGACATCCCATTGAAAATTCCAATTTCTATCTTCCCACAAATATGTTCATTATGTTCCTATGTAGAAAATATTAATTTTGCTATATTGAGAATTTACTACCTTTGATTTCACATTAATTATAATTTCAATATAGTACAGATTTATTACCTTTCATAGTAAGTCTAATTAGAAGTATGCTTGATAAAATTGGAGAAGTTCAAAGATAAGTTAACATAGATTCAGAATAACTGAACAAAACCTCTGTACTGTGTGAGTTGAAGTGAGTGAAAATGAATTATTTGATATAATTTTATATTTCAAATACAAAGAGACAATAAGAGAACCTGTGCTCATTGGGAGTGTGCCCCTTAGACAGAGTGTGGGTAGAGACAGAACAGAAAATTATTGCTGTGCATTTCTCAACACAGGAGAGAAACTGCAGCTAAAGTTCCCTAGTATTTTCAGTTATTGTCTGGGACTCACACATACCATCATCCTTCCCAGAAAGAACAGATGGGATATTTTTCTTCTCCATTGCTTTGCCCATAAAAACAGAGACATTAGGAAGAGAGAGCAAAAGTACACTATGGATCACTAACCCGGTTCTCTGATACAGCTGGTGCCCAGCGTACCTTGGCTGTCTGCAAATCTTGATCAATAGCTAGTTTTATATGTTGGGTATAGACAATAAGGGTCTGATTAGTAATAAACAATTTTAATGACCTCCCAGTAGAATCTTATCCCATAAGCATCAGTTCTGGGGAAAATAAACACTTAGATTTTATCCAATTAGTTCTCAAGTATTCAGTGTTGTGGCACATTTAAAACCCGATTCTTGTTTCATTATGAATTAAATGAACAGTGTGAAAGATATCATTAGAGTTATTCTGAGTTTCATGTGACTACTTTAAAATATTCATTTAGGGAACATAAATGAATTGTGTGAAATGATTTATGAAAAGAAAACAAAAATGTAAAAACAGCAAATATTGTTTGTAATATTTGAAAGTTTTTATTTTCATTGCCCTATACTATTCATATTAACATAATAAGACACAGTCACAAAAAAGTCCATTTTGAAATATTTTTCTAAGAGACTGAGTAAAAGCAGCTTTCATTGAGGTTTCAAGATAAAGTAATACAGGTGCAATCATAACTCCCCCAAGGAATGCTTTAGAAGTTAAATAATGAGAAATGGTTCATTTTTCCTCTAAAAATTAAGACAAATGTTGAAAAATAATATATTATATTTCACAAGACGTTTAGATAAGTTTAGAGGTAAGTTAAAAGACAGTTGAAGCATGCATTGTAGAAGGTAATTTCATACTAGACTAATTCTGAATATAAATATAATAAATATAATTACTGAACATTT